CATGCATTTATTCCCCGCGGAATAGTCAGGAGTGCTGCCTCCTCTCCCCAGCTCAATTAGAAAGTCTCAGAAGACAGGGCTGCCTGCACAGCTCTTCCCTTCTCTCGTGGCAGTCTGCGGAGCAGCTGTGAAGCACTTGGTGAAGTAAGTGGCTCCCTAGTGAGCTGTGAGCACTGTGGCTGACTGCAGCACTGGACACGGGCCTCCCCTACTTTTCGTGGCGAGGGTCTTGTCATGGGGCACAGTGCTTAGCAGAGGCCCAGATATCATTGGACCCTGATGGCATTCCTCCAGTCAGGCCATGGGTAAGCGCCGGTTAGTGGGGGTGCATGGCAGGCAGGGATGTTTCTAGAAGGCTTTCTAAAGGTGAAGCCAGTGACTTCAGATAACACCTTCTGGGGCAAAGCATTAGGAGGACTTTTAGTATCAGCTTGTTGACACTCAGATACTTGGGAGCCAGTGACACTTCCTCCACCTGCCACACCCAAGCTGAGGGCTAGGGCCGCTTGCTGTAAGGCAATTCCCCCGCTCGGACCCCACATGGCCCACAGCGTGCAGGCTGCCCTGCTGGCCAGTGTCCTGTCTGTGTAGGAGAGGCAGGACAGGAGAATATGGGGTGGACCCGTGGACCCTGCTCTCCCAGCCTTTCTGACACTGCTCACAGACCCACCCTGCTCTGCGGGCACCCTGGCACTTGCCTATTCTTACTGGGTTCTGGAAACCCAATCCCCGGCCCCGCCCCTCAGCCCTGAGGGTTGGGAGGCATCCTGCCAGTCTTGGGTTGCTTCAATATCCACTCTTGCCTCCTTTGCTCTGTCCTTATTCAACTCAAATGAAGACACTCATCACAGCAATCCCCAAGCTTTCTGTAAAACCCACACCAGACATTGGAGGCCTCAATCTGAGTAACGATGGCACATGCAGGACAGAAGACCATCTGCTTAGGGGGCCAGGCATTGATCCCACCACTCCACACAGGGGCCATTCTGGGTTCCTGCGATGGGCCTCCTGGGGCCCGGCTCACCCTGCTCTCTGCCTGCTCCTCCAGGCTAATCAGAAATGCCCGGTCAGAGGTGTGTGTGGCAGCAAAAGTGCCTCCAATCTAATGGGAACCCATCTTCAGAAAACAACGCTGACTCTAATGCCCACGGCTGTCAGCATTTCGTTAGTCCAGCCTTCCTGGTGGTATTGGCGTTTTGAAAGGAGTGCTTGGATGTCAGTCCTCATCTGGCCACTTTTTAGCTCTGTGACTAGGTAATGCTCAAGCTCTCTAGCATTTGGGTTCTTCATCTAAAAATGGGGGTAACATTAAAATGTCTCTCACAAGTCTGGATGCCAGCTCCCACCACACACCAGTGCTCAGTGACGGCTGACCTGAATGGGGCTGGCTGTTCTATCTAGATGAAAGGTCTCTGGGATTAGGAGGGGCTTCCGGGACACACACACTGCCATCCAGGAAGGCTGCAGGCAGACTGGCTCTGATGCAGCACCGTGCCACCAAACAGGGTGCCGTCTAGCACTGCTCACCCCTTCCAGGGAGTTTCTTTCATGTTAATCTTGAGAAGAAGTTGCCCACATGTGTGGGTTGCCTCCTCCAGGACTTCCCCAAGGTATTCCAGAGAACCGGGATCAAACTGGACTTAGCTAGGCCTGCCTGCCATGTGACCACCTTGCCCGCCTGCTCAGCACACTGGTTCAATACTTCAGCCTCCTACTTGTTAAACACAGCCCCTAACCCACACCTGCTCCATGGGCACCTGAGGAAGACAGGTAGTGATAGCAGGCAGACGGCTGGGATGCAGCTCATTTTCAGAGTGATGAAAGCCACCACCAAGTCAAGCAATGCTCCTCCTCATGCCTCACCTCTCCCTCGGCCACCACATCAGTGCAGCTCAACACAGACCAAGCAGAATCAGAACATCTGACCTGCACATGACAAGCCTCTCTAGGGACTCCTGTTCTGAGGAAGTTCTGTGCCACTTGGGCCTCTGGTCACGAAGGGCACACCCTTTGCAAAGCAGAAGGTGACATTTCTTTAGTACAAATGTAGAGGTCTTTTTGATTTTTATTTTCCAAAAAGGCTCCCCACCAGGGCCTTGGGGAAACCCAGAGCCGAGCAGCAAAAGGCAAACCTGCTCACCAGAAAGTATGGTTCCTGTTTGTGCCATTTCTGGCCACTTCTGGGGGTGGGTGCATGAGGCTAAGGGGAAGACAATAGACGTACGTAGACCTCAAGGGAAGAGGGGCCAACACCATGCTGGTTGTGATGCTCCATTCGTGCATGCTGCTGGGTACGTGTGTGTCCTGGAGGACTGAGCAGCTAAGTGGGAAGGCCACTGTACGCTGATGTGATCTCCTTGGGTCAAGCTATGCAAATGAGCAAATGGTGGGATTGGCATTGTTTCCAAAAGCTATCTCAATTTACATTATTCCTAGAAGGGACTGTTAGCTAAAAAAACCAATGCCTTCCCAACTCCCACCTAGTTTTCTTAAACAGGCCTTTGTACAAAAATCCCACACAGAAAGTTTTTTCTACCTCTAAATAAACTCCACATCACACTCAATTAGAATACTGAGCGGCTGAGTACTTTCAGTCACCTGTTAAAATAGCTTTTGGCACCAACTCTAATGACCTGAACTAGAAGCTTCAGGAACTACTAACTCTTTATGATCAACAGTTTGCATAGAGGTCTGCAGCCAAAATAAACCCCATTCGCAGATGTTCAAACATGCACTGGTAATTCTCCTGATGGAGAGACAGACAGGGCACACTTGCAACCTTTAGTCAGATACTCAATAAGGTGGTTAAGCCTAAGGTGCAAAATGGAACACTAATTTTGATACTAGCTAAAATAATTATGCTCTGTTATTACAGTCACAGGTCTCTAGCGGGAGGGAAATGAGAGCGAAGTGTCAAGATAGCTCTGCATAATGAAACACAGTCAGGGTGTTACATGACTCCCCGAGCCTGGGCCGAGGAGCCCCTGCTAGATCCCAAGGGATGGAGGTGCTCAAGCCTCCCACAACAAGTCGAAGGCAGTTTTTCTTTTTTTCTCAGTTTCTCCCCTTTCTCTGGCAATACAAGGAAAGGGAAGAGGAACTTCCCTCTGAAGTCTTGGTGGTTTCTTGTTAAGTACATGTATAAATACAGCATGTTGAAAGCACATTCTTAATAAAATTATTAATAACTCAGAGTCAGGATGGGAGGAGCCGTCTAGTGGATCACAGGGCTTGACAGTGTGTTCCCCATTTCTATGGTGAGAGGCGGGTTTACAGAGCAGCCTTCGTGACCAACTCATGTTGTGCAACACAAGCTCTGCCTTTTCCCTGGGTGCTCAGGTACCTGAGCTCAACATGTCCCTTGAGTTGCAGACAGGACCCCCTGAAGGTTAAGAATTTCTCTAAAACACAACTCAAAACAATAAAACACAGCTGTGTGCATGCGTGTACACACACACACAGGATAACTAGAATTTATAGGCTCTCACTAGAGTTCATTAGCTGTCTTTGCCTGAGTGATGTGAGCAGTTCCAGATGCTGAAAGGGGGGTTCCCTGTTGAGACAAAAACTAAAAAGAACCAGAACCCAATACATTAAAGAAGCCACTAGTGGCAAACCATGCTCATGGAAAAGCAAAAATGCTATTGAGGACTGTGAGGACACTCAAGGTTAATTAAGGTACTCTGAAAAACATGATTTAAGCCAAAGAATCACGTTGGGCAGAGAGGGTTTATCAACAGATACCTGAATGGAGTGAGCAGAAACCTGAATGGAGTGGAGATGAGTGGAGTGAATGAGCAGATACCTGGATGGAGTGGAGGTTAGAGCAGGTGACCTAGTTAAGTCACCTTCACTGTAGGCCATGGTTCTGAATTTCAGGCTAGAAAGGATCTGTGCAAAAGTAAATGACAGAAAAAAAATAGCCTATGAAAACTTGCCTTGGCCACAACCATCTTGTTTCACAAACCAAGGCCCTGGGGCAGCAGGAGTCCACTGCTCCCCCATCTTAAGTGTGACCTAACCACTGGGCCTGACCAGGGCAGAGAAGAGGCCTCTGCCTCCAACATCTAGGCATAGTCAAGACTATCTTTAAAATTTTTTTAAAATATGTTTTTATTGATTTCAGAGGACGAGCGGGAGATAGAAACATCAATGATGAGAGAGAATCATTGATTGGCTGACTCCTGCTAGCCCCTACTGGGGATCGAGCCCGCAACCCAGGCATGTGTGCTTGACCAGAATGGAACCCAGGAACCTTCAGTTCGCAAGCCGATTCTCTATACACTGGGTCAAACTGGTTGCAAGCCTGCTGAGTCAGAATAAACATTTATGCCACAAACTAATCAATGCCATGTCATCTCACCCATCAGGGGCTGCTACCAGATTAGCCCAACACAGCTCCAGCCCCCTGCCAGGAGCTTCCAGGCACTGGAAGCAGAAACTTGGAACATATGGCAAGCCGGGGACCATGCACACCTGCCTGTAGTTCAAGCCAAACCTGTACTTGAAGTAAAAAGTTACACCCCAGCACTCCCACCCCCCAAACTGGATTTAAACAAGGACAATGTAGGAAGTCAACTTAAATTGTTCCTGGAGCCAGTTTGTGGTTTTTCACATTAGAAGCTGGGGGTGGAATCAGAACCTGCGCTCAACAGCCTGCAGCAGTGCTGGGGGGCGGGGGCGGGGGGCAGGGGAGTGGCTGGGCCATCTCTGTGGGAGATGCAATCACTCCAGACTGCTGGCATTCAGTTCCCACCCTGTGCAGCAGCACACAGCTCCCGTTTCTGAACTTCTTGCTTTCATGGATTGACTTTTCTCCCATGGAGAAATTGGTTCACATTTCCTAGTGTCTGCTGTATTTCCCCTGGAGGAAAACAGCCTCTAAAATAAAATCAGCATCTGTGCTGGAGGAGCAGGCTCCGAACCTGCTTCATGGCCCTCCCAGGCAGGAACACGCACCGCCCATGCCTTAGCTAAGGAAGGATGCTCTGAACACAAAGTTAAATGTGGCTACGCTACCTTTTATTAATAAAAGTGTGTAGCTGTTGGTAAATGTCACCATGGAGAGAACATAAACCATGGGTAAGACACACCAAGAGAGATAGGCCAGCTGGGAGACTGAAGCACGTGACCAGAGGCTACAGTCAGGATGGCAGCAGGACTGTCGAGACTGCTGCCCAGGCACCAAGATTGTGGTCAAAGGCATTGCCGCAGCACTGGAATTAAGGCAAAAACATGTCCTCTCGCTAAGAGTGTCCTCAGTGCTCAACATGTAACAACGCGATTACACAGGTACTCCATTTAAAACAACAGACAAGTTCACAAAACAGTTCCGGACACTTAAACTCTAGGTTTTCTTTCTGGCAGCACCAGACTAAACTCGGTGGCTCTGCAGCATTTCCGACTTCAGGTGCGTTACAGTCTTCTGAGAAAGGCCCAGTACTTCAGAACGCCCGGTGTGGCTGTGGAGAAAGAACAGTGCTGGCAACAAATAGTAAGACAGCATTTCGGGACCTACAGGAATATATTTTGATGCTCATAAGTGAACATACGTTTAAGCATTCAAACTGATATCTTCAATACTTTCTAGTTAACATATTTACATTTATTTTTGGTTTAAGGAAAAGTGTACTTCATAGGCAAATTATTTCATCTGTATGTGGGAAGTCCATGGCCACATTTCTTATTGAATACCTGGGGCCTGTACGCCCGTAGAGTTGGGAGATGTCATTGTCCCGATCCCCCAAGAGCTCACCTGTGACACACCCTCTAAAGCACGGGAAACCTCTTACTCAGGCTCCTTGTGTGGCAGCATCAGAGAAAGAGTGCAGCACCTCCTTAGGGAGAAGCCAGGGATGGGTTTCCATTCCGTGGCTCTGCGCGCTGAAGCATTGGAGCTGTACAAAGGCTGGGGCACAGAAATGCTTGCAGCACGCCGGCATGCCCGCTGGCCCATGCTGCAGCTGTAGGTGCTCTGCTGCCTGCTGGCCGTGGCCTGAATGTGGAATTTTACCCACCAGAAAGCATTATTGGAGCCCAAATCAGAAACTTTAAATAGCTCAGTGACATTGATGCTTTTCCCTTTGGCTTCAGAAAACAATCACAACCGAACATCTTCAACTATGAGGCAGAGTTGACTGGAACCACGAAAAACACCTTTTCAAAAAACATTTAATGAGGTAGCTGAGATCAAATATCAAATCCACAGCATACACAAAAGTGCTCAATAAGTGCACATTTAAAATTGTATATTTAAATGCAAACTGCTACAATGCCTAATAAATGTTCTTTCTTCCCAAAACCTAAAAGTGCGAGCAAGCCTTTGGAAGGGCCCCTGGCAGAGATAGACAGCAAGTGGTTGGGAGTCAGTGAAGCTGGAGGGAAGAGAAAGGCAGGGCATTCAGAGCATACAGCTTTGGCTGAATTGGTAGTGCTCCCCATGGAACTAAAATGCACTGGGTGCCAGAGAGAACAAATACCACACAGAACCTGGGGACATGATGGGGTCCAAGGGGACCTGACTTGAGGCAGCAGGAAGCCCAGGCCTGGGGCAGTCACTAAGTCTAGGCAATGGTCAGAACACTGACCGCCACCATCTTCCAAGGCCCCTGAAGCCATCTCAGAGGGAGTCTGGCCACCTGCTGCCCTGCCATGGCCACCTGCGCTCTGGGGGCGGCTGCCTTCAGCCACTGCCCAAGTTCTCAGTGCGTGTTCACAGACAAGGGCTGCTTCTGGCTGCACAGCACTGCAGATGCTGACAGGAAAGCCCTCACTTGGAGCGCTGGGCAAAGGGAAAGAGGGTGGTAGCAGCTGGCAGTGTGGACCGAGAGTGCTCGTCACTGTTCACACACTCACACATGCAAACAGACGCATGCAGAGACACACACACACACACATGTGCACAATGACCCTCACAGAGGCAAGTGACAGTGTGGGCAGCGAGCAGCCTCCAGACAGTGCAGAAGTTTTGGGAAGACAGAGTGGAAGGGCCTGAGGCAGGGCTGGGGAGGTCCTGGATAGGAGCCTGGATCCACTTTCTTCGCCAGCCTCCCCTCCTGTCCTCTGAGGCGAGGTGGCACTGCGCACACCAGGTCGCCTGGCGGAAAGGCAGGCACCAGGTCGCAGTGTTAGGTCTCCGTAGGGTACTTGCTGTAGGCCAGAGGAGGCAGGGCCTGAAAGCTGCTCTCCCTCCAGGCGCCGGGCGGGGCCTCCATGCGCCCCTGCTCTTTATATTTACCCAGAATGTTCCTGGCTTCTTCTGCATCCCTCAAAGGGCTCTCTCCATACTCCTCCTTCAGCCACTGCCGGTACTGAAGGAGTTGAAAAGAAAAGCAAACGTCACACACACACTGGCATGCATGTAAGACTTTTACGTGTTACATACAAACTGGCAAATACATGGGCATGGGCAGTCACAGCTCTGTGGTTGGCCAGGCAGTGTCAAAGAAGAGAAATTACTGCTTCTTCAGGTTTTGGCTTGAGGACATGAACGTCAGCCAAACCTAGAAAACCAGTACTTGACCCCCAGGGAGAGAAATGAAGCACACGGGGCCCAAGGAAGATCGTAAAGGGTGATATCCTGTGGCTGTGGCTGGTGAACAAGGGACCAGGGAGGACTTCATGTGGGGTGCAGGTAAGGTATCCTTGGAACAGATGTCCTCTGTGGGCCTCTCCAACTTCAACCTCCATGCTTCCAGGATTGTGTGGAAAGACAGGCACCTTCCCAGGGTGTGCTGCGTACCTCCCGAGTCCCTGGAGCACAGTTACCTCATGGACTTCATGCTTCTCAAATTCCTGGAGCTGTCTCTGGAAGCCCAGGTTGGGGTTGGCACAGGACCTGCCTGCACGCACAGTGTGCAGGGCATCTTCCCAGCCAAAGTCAGTGACGGTCATGATGTACGCGATCACCAGAGTCACACTCCTGGAGACACCGGCCAGGCTGTGGGGCCAAGAGAATGGCCCGTGGGCAAGGAAGGTTTAGGGTCTGCAGTCTACCTTCTGATCCATTTGGAGCAAGGACTTTATGGACCTGATTCTAGAGTCTTCCTGCCTTGGATTGCGAGTGGACAGCAAGCCATTATGCTACCTGGAAATCCCTCAACCATGGACACAACCAGGCAGAGGACCTGAGAGCACACACACACGTGCTCTGAAATTCAGCCATGTGTATGCTCTGCGGGCAGTAAGGGTTACGTGTCTCTAGCAGGCTGAGTAGGGGACCTATTGTAAATGCATATGCAAAGTAAGGTGGTCAAGGAAAGGCTGTGCTGCGTCAGATTTGGAGTGTTCTAGTAACGGTTTCTGATGGGGAAGTTTAGCACATTTCTCATTTTGAGAAAAGCCTATATTCAGATTTGCACAGCTGTATGAAATACAAATTCCTAGACTATGAGACCTACAGATAGTTAAATATAAATAATATTATCAATATGGTAATAACACTAATAAACCACTTTGATGTGATGTCTCTTCCGTAAGGCTTTATCTCAGAAATGATGAAAGCTTTTAAAAAATACATCTTCTCGCCCTAACCAGTTTGGCTCAGTGGATAGAGTGTCGGCCTGTGGACTGAAGAGTCCCGGGTTCAATTCCGGTCAAGGGCATGTGCCTTGGTTGCAGGCACATCCCCAGTGGGGAGTGTGCAGGAGGCAGCTGGTCGATGTTTCTCTCTCATCAATGTTTCTAGCTCTCTATTCCTCCCCCTTCCTCTCTGTAAAAAATCAATAAAATAAAATATATATATTTTAAAAAATAAAAAAAATATATATATTTAAATAATACATCTTCTTGAGCTGCAACCTGGAACCCTAGAAGTCCAGGTAGAGAAAGGAGTTCAAAACTGCCCTTTAAATGGCTCCAACTGCACTCCCTAAGTGATACACACACACACACACACACAAATATATATCTATGTAGAGAGAAAAGAAGAGAAGAGGAGAGGAGAAGGCAAAGGAAGAAAGGAAGAGAAGGGATACACCCCCTACTGGGTGGGGATCAAGCCTGCAACCCAGTCATATGCCCTTGACAGGAATCAAACCTGGGACCCTTCAGTCTGTAGGCTGACGCTTTATCCACTGAGCCAAACCAGCTATGGCCCCAAAGAGCTTTAATGAAAAGGCAAACAATGCTACAAAACCCACCATTTGTATTTATAACATGTCCTACTCTTTTTAAAAGTAAAATAAATAAGCACTCTATTTCAAGAACTTTATAAAACTGCAGAACACCCTTTTTAAGCAATCAAACTATCTATGTTTTTGCTCCCTCATGACGGGTCCCTGGCCCTTAGGACAAACGACAGTTCTCATGAATGACCCCTGTGGACACTGTGCACTGGACCCCCTCTGCCACCAGGGCTGCCCACTTCGGCAGTGGCACGCCCAGCGGCGCTAGTGTATTTCCAGAGAGCTTCACTGCAACAGGGACTCGAGCTGCTGGCCAACATCGAGCCTCATTCAAGGCAGAGAGGCAGGTACTCAGCCTGCACTCTGACACTGAGCATGGCTCCAGACTTTGGCTGCTGGCTCCCATACAGGTTAGTGATGCTGCCAGAGGAAGACAGAGAAATGAGGGAGTGAAGTGAGAGCCGACACTCTGGGAGAGCTCACTCTGTGCCAGGCTCCGTGTGCTGTCCTTCAGCTCCACCTGTCCCAGTCCCTTCCTCTGCAGTGCGTATATACATGCATGTATATGTATGTGTGCCTACATCCACACCCAGAGTACAGCCGAATCCAGGGGCACAGCTGTATGTAACTGCTTAATTCTAAGTCTATTCAGATCCTTTCAAAGCCAAACACACACAAAGTCCCAACCTAGATGGAGAGAGAGCCGCCACTCTGGTGCTACGGTGACGCAGTACTACAGTGACGCGGTGCTACCACCACACACGCAATCACAGCTCTGCGGAAGGAACTGTGCTCTGAAAGACCCTGAGGGCTCAGGAACAAACCTACAGTCTGTGCCCTCCATGGAGGCTGCTCTGACAGAATGGCAGAGGTTGGCCACAAAGGCTCTGCTGTCCAGGGGCCTGACAGTCCCTATAGAAGTCCTACCTGTGAAGATGAAAAACCTAAGTTTTAGGGTTCTCTCTCAATGAAGGCCAATGGTGTTGAACAAAGAGGAGACTCAAGTGGGGTGTGTGTCTGAGGTTTCGAGGGAGGAAAAAAAACCATTAGGAGATGAAATAATTAACTGCACACAGGGAAGCCCTGAGAATCGACCGAGCTGAACGGCTATCAGGCAAGAGGCATACATACCAGTGGACAAGACAGCCCTCTCCCCGGAGCCGGCACTCGTGAATGAATTTAATACTTTCTTTGAAATGTCTTGTCCTGAGGGGAGAAAAAGAGAGAAGTGACATTCATTTACTCAACACATGGTAAAAAGTCCACCTGAGGTTTGTTAGAAGGTCTCGGCCACTCAGCTTCCCGGCCACACTGTTGGGCAGAGCTGCCTGCATGTCAGCGCCCATCACACGCCCCGAGGCCTGGGGAGCTGAGGCCTGAGGGCTGCCCACATCTGGGCTGCTTGGAATTTCTCTACTGCCACTGACTGGTGGTCATGGTGGGTGGCTTCTGCCCAGCCCCACGGTCAGTCTGGCCCCCCGATGCTCGGCAGCACACCGGCAACCCTACAGCCACTTTGGTGAGGAAGGTGCCCACTTATGCAGGCTCCCTAAGTCCGAAAAGCTAGTTTACTTCTGACACTCTGAACAACCAGTAAGTCTTCCACACCGGCCTCCTCCTGTCCCGTCTGTGTGACAGGAGAGCTGTGTGGAAATGACAACTGCAGCTCCAACGCCACCCACTCAGTAGGTTAGTGGCTGTGTGGCCTCAGGAAAGCCCCGTGGCTCCCCTTAACCTCTGCTGTAGTGGGAATAATGTTTTACATGCCAACATGCTCCATGGATTCTAAAGTTCTCTAGGACAATAAGCCACGACCCTCACTTCTGACTCTCAGCTTTGCTGCCATGTGTCTAGTCAGAATGGGAAATCCAGGTGTGATGCGATGATCGCCACAGGCACTGACTGCAGAGAAGTTCTGTAGTGTTAAGTTCAGGTGCCTAGCCACTCTGGGACAGGCATAAATCTGCAAAGTGACTCAGGGCATTGCAACTCTACTCCCAAAGACTGGCTTGGTGTAAAGTGGGCAAGAAAAGATTCCTGATGGAATCCTGACATCTGAGTGTTAGTGCTGAGAGTCCTTAGAGCGGGGTGTGGAGCCATGAAACTGTGGAGGGGTGTAAGCACGGGGTGAGCCCAGCCTGAAGGCCAGGCGCTGCAAGCAGGTGAGGGCTCGGTGCTCAGTCTCCCATTTCTCAAACCCAGCAATGGGGAGCATGCAGTGAAACCCTCTGGCTCTGCAGGTGGCGGAGCATGTTCGGCTGCACTGACTTCGCTGGGGCAGCAGCAAGCCCAGTCTTCAGAATCCCCTATTCTCTTCAGTTCTGGCCTGAGAAGTGAAGGGAAAGCTTGTGGTGGGGATTTCTGGGAAAGTTTTCCTTCTGATGAAAGGAAAGCTATCTCTGCCCTAGGCTTCCTGCCAGGGCACTGGAAGTGAGCACTCTGCCTAGAACTGCATCAGATGCCTGGGACCACAGGTGACAGGCCTCCGAGTGGAAGGGCAGCAGGATGGATAGGGGGACTTCAAGGTGTTGCTGCCTAGGCCTGGGAGCATCCATTTTCAGACTTCTGGGTCAAGGAGTTAAGTAATAAATGTCTTTATAACTTAAAACACTGTCAATCAGATATTCTGTTACCTACAACCAAATACCATCTTCCTGATATCAGCAACTAATTCAACAATTTTAAACACATGGAGCCAACTCTTCTGGCTTAGGAGTGGCTACAGGCTACTGTCTGCAATCGGCTTCGTGGTTTACACAGTGTGACCTGTCCTCCTCTGGAGGCCACTGCATAGGGGAGACAGGACAGGGGTAAGTGGGTCTGACTGTATATCCGAGCCGGACAGCCGGCCCAGAAGCCAGGCCCACCCCTGACTAGAGGCTAGTGGCCAAGGGTGCAGCTAGAGTGTGCACGCCTTTGTCACCAGGCCAGCCACACTAGGGCATCCAGGGGATCTGGAAAAGCCTCCCAGGCCACAGCCTGCTGTCCAGCCTATCCTTTGTGGGAGAGCTGCATCTGGGATAAGACAGCAGGGAAGAAGAAGGCAACCAAAAAGAGAAGAGCACACCTAGGAATAAATGACAACTGCCTTAGTGCATAAACCACAGACTGCCTGGGAGCACTGCAAAAGCATCCAGTGACACAGGAGCTAACAGTGCTCCACCAGGCGGGCAGGCCTTGCTGTCTGGGGACAGGGTCGGTGCTGTGGCAATCACCAAGATCTTGCAAAGATGACACACGAATCCTTTTGCTGAAATTTCGGAGTGGGAACATCTTATGTCCAGTTTTTATACTTGCACATCCCAAACTATGTGCACAATGGAACCTAGGTCTTAAGCACTGTGGAGTGTATCTGGGTTCAAGAGCAGCCTTGTCACATCTCAGAATAAGAGGTGGGGGGTGTGGGTGTGGTCAGGAGGGCAAATCTAAGCTTGCCACGGCCTAGAACCAGTGTGTAAAGGAACTAAGGGGCTGAGGACGGGCCCTCACTCTGCCCCCACCAGACCCTTACTCCTCCAGCTCTAACTGCATCCAGTGCAAGTGCAAACGAGCCCACGAGGGCTCCTGTGCACCCTGCAGAGCCCAGAGCGCCTGGCCCAGGGGCGCAACGATGCCAACAAAGTGCCTGCTCAGAGCCCTGCCAGAAACTTGACTCATGACACTTTAGGCACGAGGCCAAGCCAGGCAGGCATTCCTAGAAATGCCTTTTCCAAGAAAAGCCAGGAGGCAGGCGTGCTCACTACTGCTTTGGTGTGTTGCAGGGAGTGGGGGGTTATTTCCAGGGAAGCTAATGACATAAGCCCAAGCCCTGGCCATTAAACACCCTCCTCCACAGTGGGAAATACCCACGACTCTGGTTCTGATATTGCTCCACCCTCTGACTGAAGCAGAAGCATAGCCTGAGGCACCATCGCACCACAAACTGCTTCCATAAACACAGGTTCCCTATTCCTGCTCCTCATTGTGTATTTGCTTCCACACATTCTGTACTCAGCAAGCCAGCCTGCTGGTTCAGAAGGAAAGCACAGCCTGCAAGTGTTCCAAAAATGCCGCTGCCGCTGCCACTCAGAGGGAAGCCCTGGGCCACGTTTGTTCCACACTTACTCAATAATGCTGCTGCTGCTGACACCCAGAGGGAACCCCTGGGCCACGTGTGTTCTACACTCACCCAATAATGCTGCTGCTGCTGACACTAAGAGGGAACACATGGGCCATATGTTCCACATTCTCCCAATAATGCTGCTGCTGACATCCAGAGGGAACACTTGGGGCCATGTGTCTTCCACACTCACCCAATAATGCTGCTTCTGCTGGTGACCACCCAGAGGGAACCCATTGGGCAGGCAGAGGGCACTTCAGCAGAGATATCCTTCATGGGGCTCAGCAAACAGCCCCACAGCTGTATTGCCCAGGTGCCCTTCCTCTTCTTCCTCCTCAGTCTGTGCTAGCCTTCTTGTGGACCAGTACATCCCCAACCCCTCCTTCTCCATCCAGAGACCAGAACCAGGGCCAGCCATGCTTTCCTGACCTCCAGAGAGCAGCCAAGCAACACCATATGGTGTTCATCTTCGTACTCCAAGACTACAAGTCTTGGTCGCTGCGATCCCCCTGTGGGCATGAAGAGTCCTGTCCTGTGAGGACTCTGCCTCCGTAAGCTGAAGCCCAGAAATGGCCCAGCACCCTGATGGCAGCTGGGCTTACTCACAGCAGCCATACAGACAGCAAAGCCATGAATTTTGTGCACCAGGCCACTAGTATATAATTTATTTTTGCTAATAGCCATTCTTTGTGGGTTTGATTTGCATTTCCCTAATAATTAGCGATGTTGAATATCCTATATAATAAAAGACTAATATGCAAATTGTCCCCTCTACTGGAAGTTCCGACTGGGAGTTTGACCAGGGAGTGGGGCTGGCCCACCAACTGCCCTCAGCCCCTCCCCCTGGCTGGCCCCGCCCCCGATTGCCTCCCAGACACCACCCGAATTCATGCACCAGGCCTCTAGTCTTTTCATATGTCTTTTGGTCATTTGTATTTCCTCTTTGAAAAGATGTCTATTCAGACCCTGTGCCCATTTTTCAATCAGGTTGGTTGCACCTTACTTTTCATTCTGGCAAATAAGGTTATTTTATTTTTATATTATTATTTTTAAATATATTCTTATTGATTTCAGAGAGGAAGGGAAAGGGAGAGAGAGAGAGATAGAAACATTAATGATGAAAGAGAATCATTAATCATTTGCCTCCTGCATGCCCCACACTGGGGATTGAGCCTGCAACCTGGGCATGTGCTCTGGTGGGGAATTGAACCATGATCTCCTGGTTCTTAGGTTGACACTCAACCAGCTGAGCAACACCGGCTGGGAAGATAAAAGCAATCTAAAAAAAACCAATACACCCAAGAAAAAAACAAAACCCCTCTTTACCATCTAGTACAAAATAATTTCACAAAGAATAGTTCAACACTACAAACACTAGAAAGACATAGTCTAAGACTAAAAAATACTTCAAGTTAAAGCCTTATGAAAAATGCAATATACACTTTCCACATATTTCTCTTTCCTATAGACTGCAATGTCCTTAGGAGCCGTGTGTGAGCACATGTATGTAAGTTCTCATGTGTGTATGCATCTGTTTGGAAGGGCCATCAAGGGCCACCTAGCTCTGATCTTGCAAAATTGTTTTTTAAACAATGAAAATAAAGAAAAATGTAAATAGGAGAGAGTACAGAGGACATCAGCTACACTAAATAAAAATACACAAAAAGACAGGGAGGTAGAATGAGGCAAGAAAGTTTTATTGAATTGTTAAATATCAGCTCTCTGTACTCTAATGCCTCTTCTCTTCAGGAGAACCTCAAGCAGTTTAGAAATCTGTTTGATTCCCAACCCCGGGACGTCATGAAGGCTTTACGATAACGAGACAATGTTGCCGACTCCCCAGCACAGACCAAGCTCCTGCGTTTGACCGAAGGAGAAGATGAAAAATAAGAGTTATACCCTTAATGATGTCTACATATAAAATGCCAACTTAATAAACATTAAAATAAGAATGAACAAAATAAGCTGCTATACACCTAACCACTCACTTTCAAAGTACATTATCACTCCTTACTTGAATACACAGAAATTAAAATCTTATCTTTGCAGATGCTTAGTGTTCATAAACACTTCTACTTATCTCACCTAATACTATAAAAATTGTGTGAGATAGTTATTTTACAGTGAGAGAAGTAAGGTTAAAACAGCTTCCCTAGGAAAACACAGAGAGAAAGCAAAAGCAAATATTTCCAAAACCTTAATTCACTAACCCATCTCCATCAGCCGCTTGGAGAACATGCAGCTGTGCAGTTGATACAAACTCCAGGATGTCCCTAATTGTAACAAGTCAAGCAAAGTGGGCAGCCTGGATCTGGGGGGTTATCGCCACTATGAGAATCTGAATTTTCATGTGCCTTGACTTTGCAAGGCAAGGTGGTTGGGGAAACAGAACTAAAATCTTAATGCAGTGGTTCTCAACCTTCCTAATGCCGCGACCCTTTAATACAGTTCCTCATGTTGTGGTGACCCCCAACCATAAAATTATTTTCGTTGCTACTTCATAACTGTAATTTTGCTACTGTTATGAATTGTAATGTAAATATCTGATATGCAGAATGTATTTAGGCGTCCCCTGTGAAAGGGTCATTTGACCCCCAAAAGGGGTCGCGACCCACAAGTTGAGAACTGCTGTCTTAATGTGTTAATGTTATCTCAAACCAGGTTTCTGCATATCAAGTTCCTGGAAGATCAGATGGGGAGTTAGTGAGTACTGAGGCCAAGATAGAGAATTGACCTTTCTGGGCAGCGGGTTTGCAGCAACTGAATACCAAGTGACAGCAATGTTTCAAAGATCAAAATTAGCAGAAGAATTCCTGTGGGCATAGAAATCTGTGGGTAAAGATTTAGGATATAAAACCTTAAGTTATATTCAAAGTTGGAAATAATTTTTAAAATACATAAGTTTAAAACAATAAGCAATACAGTTTTCTAGAATTTATTTTGTCATTAAATATAGGGACTCTCACCCTGGCTGGTGTGGCTCAGTTAGTTGAGCATCTTTCCATGCACCCAGAGTCACCTATTCAATTTCTGGTGAGGGCACCAGGTTGCAGGTTCGATCCCCAGTCGGGTCATGTACAGGAGGCAGCCAAAGAATGTTTCTCTTTCACATTGATGATTCTTTCTCTACCCACTCTCCCTTTCACTGAAATCAATTAAAAATATTTAAAAACCTTACCAGTCTTGATTATTAGGCATTTTTATTATTATTATTATTACAATATCCTTTATGGAAAGGAAAAAAAATATAGGAACTCTCAGGCATCATAAATTACAAGTGGCTGCACTAAAGAACTACCAGTTCTAATTGGGTTACCCAGAGACACGATCCCTCTCTCTTTTGTTAGCAAGAGCATTAAGATTATTTATCTTCTGACCACCCACAATGGTTGATCATACAGAAATGAAGGTTCACTCTAGCCTTCAAATGTTCCTAATATTTACAGGCTACACAAAATGAGATAGGTCATATAGACAGAGTCAACTGTTCCACCTGCAATAGTAAGTTAGTAGTCTGCTTATATTCAGAAAGCATGCTTCCGTTTAGAACAGCAGTCGCCAACTGGTGGTTCGTGGACCACTGGTGGTCCATGAGGTCCAAAAGGTTGGCAACCACTGGTTTAAGGAAATTTTTGGAGTAGCAGTCCCCAACCAGTGGTCCGTGAACCACTGGTGGTCCATGAGGTCCAAAAGGTTGGCAACCACTGGTTTAGAAGGCATGCGATGCTTTCCAATAAAACATTTGTAACAGGTAAAGAGAAAAGCTATTTCATAGGTTGTCTTAACATACAAGGCATGCTCAAAGTTCAGCTTAACTCCATATTCTCCATTTAATTTTAGTAGAGCAAGAAAAACTTATAGAATCATGCCCAAAACCTTACTATGCATAAGCGTTGCTATTACAAAGGATTTAAAAATAAGTTTCCCTAAAGAACCACACAAATGCCTATATGCCTAACTCCCAGAAGCAGAGTGCCAGTTTTTCTGCCTTTTGGTGAACTATGGTCTGGCCTTAGTTTTTCAATTGCAATAGAGGTTGTGCTCTGCTAAGACTTCACTCCAACAGCAGCAATGTGCATTCTCTCCACAGTTTTATCATTAGCCCCAAACATGGATGCTGCAATAACTCCCAACTGCAAACTCCTCTCCTACACTACGCTTTCATCCAAATACAAGGAGAGGGTTTAAGAGGCAAACCAAACATATTGTAACAACATCGTTGTACATATTTGGCATAGACAAGAACTAATTCAAATCTTATAGGTTAGTCCTCTGGCTCCACGATGATGGTGATTGGGCTGATTTTGCCAGAAGCAGCTGCTGCCCCCTCCTGTCACCTGACCTTTCCACAAGCACACCTTCCAAGGAAATGAAGCAGGCCGCCTGAACACCGAAACTTATTTTCAACTACTTTTTCTGTAATTCCCAAGACACAGTAATATCCTCTTATTTTCAAAAGTGCTTAGAGTTCATAGAAAACACTTTCACATATATGATCTCACCTCCAAAATCCTAAAGGCAGGCCTTTTTCAGATGAAAGAACTGACTTGCCCAAGGTATTTGAAACTTGTTTTAAAGTTGAGATCTCCAATTTTGGGTCTACTGCTCACTTGTCCACATAGCACAGGACACTCACTACTCTACCTTTACGTGGAAAGTCAGGGACCTGTCCTGGCAAGCCCAGAGATTCACTCGTAACTGCGCTGAGAACCCTGAGGGGCAGCGCAAAGTACACGTGGTCATGTGTCCTAACAGCAAATGCCCAGATGTGCTACAGTTTGATTCTTCCAAAGAGTCAGAGAGCCAATTAGGTATTGACAAATTCAACAGTATGTCAGAATCTCAGTTTGAGATAAGAGCAAAGCAACCATTCTAAAAATAGCCACCAAAATACAGGCAGAAGATTGCTGTGGGCTCAGAGAAAGGCAAGTGGCTCACTTCCTTCCGTACATACCATGCCCTCCCAACCACTTCTGTTTCTTGGCACAACTCGTAACCAAGGAAGTTCTCTAAAGCATCTTCCCCTCCCTCCAGACCTAAGCTACTACTGTTTTCCTAGTGATCTTAGTAAAATCCTTTCTCCACCAATCTTAAAGATTGACTTTTCCTAGGAAATGTGGAGAGTCACTTTGAAAACATGAGCCCTGGGTAGAATGTATTTGCCCCCACTTCCATCTACCCCTTCCCTTTCCTGATCTACCACCTGTGCCCTGACCTATCCCTCTCATCCTTCCCCACATCAATCTGTCTGCATCTAGCCCCATTTTTTTTCTCAAACAGGTAGATTGCACAAAATTACTGCCTAGCCTGTGATTTCTCTTCTCTGCAGCAGTGAAAAATCAAGTTTGGTTAATGTAACACTTTGATAGCTTTTAGAGAGGCTAGATACTTGGGATCCTACATGTAAAATTCTGCAGTCCGTACTTCTGATATGTAGGATTTGCAGGCAATAGAATGTGAGAATCACAAGGGATGTGTCCCGACAAGTCTATGGAATCCCAAATTCACAACACTACCATAGCTTTTAATTTTCCTGATGGAAAGAAGTAATATGTAATTCTAGGAGTGTTATTGTATCTGACCTCCAATAACAGCAGAAGGTCAGCCTGAGAGGCAGAGGTTGGGGAATGTGAGTGCACTGAATGGTTAATACTTTACTTCGGCCCCTAGCCTCTCAGCCTGCTAGGTTCAAATCCATGTTTCAGTAAAACTTTACTCCCTGCCATGGCCTTTCTGGATCACTTCTGGAAACTAAAGAGTGTGAACGTTAGAGCCATAACTGCAGTGGGTCTCCAGAGACCTGTCCTCCATTCTACCAAAGCCTACTCCTACGGGTCTCCATATAATGGCTGTTGATCTGGAAAAGATAGCAAGGACACATTTCTCTTTGTAGAGACAAAACCGTGTCAAAGATGTACTCAACTGTGAAGAAACAGAGGGCTGGACTTTCCTAAACCAGGAAGATCTGTTCACTGGACTCGGACAGACTTTACAAATACACTGTGCCACAGAGTGGCCATTAGCCACATGTGGCCGTGGAGTACTTGACATAAAGCTGATCCGATCTGAGATGTGCTGGCAGTGTAAAGAAAGCTTGCTTGATTTTGAAGACTTACTATGAAAAAAAGGATGTAAAATATCTCATTTAAAAATACTTAGCACATGGTTGAAATGGAAGTATTTTGGATATACTATTGTAAATAAAACATTACTAAAATTCTTATCACTGATTTCTTTTTACTTTTTTAATACGCCTCCCAGCAAACTCAAAATTCTAAGTGTGACTGCATTGTGCTTACAGTCTGTTTCTATTGGATGTGTTACTTTACACAAAACCCACAGCTCCTGGAAGGGTGTGCTGCTAGAGAAAGGATGAGCATGCTAATAGTTCGATCTGAGGTCCTTTTTAAAAACCAGACTCTTCTTACAGACTGCTCATCAATTACTGTACAGACCACCAGCAAACCAAGCTCGCCTCTGGCTCCAGGCTGCCCCCACTGGGCAGCTCACACCTGCGTGGGCCTCACCTCCTCTCTGATGAGGCAGCAGCTGTGCACAGCAGCAAGGGTCCCGCGGCCCCAAGACTCTACTCTCCTTTCCGTATTTGACGTTGCAGTCCTTTAGCCATTTTTAATATCCCCAAATAATACAGAAAAAAAACAACTTACAGGTTTTGAGATGGTGAATCCGCTGCTGGAATGCACAGGTATTTAACCCCCTGTAGAATGATAAAAAAATAAATTTAAAAGATGATACCCAGTATAGAAAAATATTTGAAGGAACTATTTACTAAGGTCAAAAAAATAAAAAATAAAAAGGAGAAGTTTGTCACTCATCTTTTGTTGCCAAGGAACTGGGGAAAACTCTTTAATTAAGGTTCCTGATTATTTTCCATGACCGTGTATACAAATGTTCATGCTCTGGTTTGGAAACAGCTTGTAGACAGGGGGTATCAAAAAGTGAAACAACTGGGTACTTCCCAGTAAGTGGTACAAATTCCAGAGCCCTCACCTCAGATGCTCGTTTACATGTTTCACATTTTTATCAATTTTATTTAGGATCCACTGGTAGTAAAACCTTAACATGATATCTGAAAATTGTAACATTATGGTACAGTTTATCAAATTTAGTATGAGGAGATTTCAATTTCACTGATGTACCTACATGATAGGAGTTTCTACACATGGGAAGTAATGTGATTTATTATGTCTCCTTTCCAGAAAAGCAAAACTTATTTACTAAATTAATAGGTCTTTTTAAAAAATAAATAGTTTGAAAAAACAAACTTCTATAAAAATTTTTATGTCAATTCATGCTGCATAAAAATCAGGTTAAATTTCAGTTTTATTAAATTTTAGTTGTTTCTTCGTCAGAAGGACTTAAAGTATAGTTTAAAAGGTCTTCAGTGTCAAGTGAAAATACAAAGACTAGATGTCTCAGCAACCTTGGCTTCATAAAGACTTAAATGGACCATTTTTAAGCCTCCTCTCTGGTAGCCTAACCTCATGGACTCTTGCCATTGTGTCATGAGAAATAAGTGTCTGGGAACACATCAGTAACTGGAACAAAAACCAATGTAAGAGAGTAAATGAAGGACAAGCATGTAGGATAGTTTAGACAACTATAGTTCCCTCAGCAGACAAAGTCATAAAATAATGTCTTCTAGGACTTTTGAAAAGTTTGCAGTTGTTTGTTAAAATTTTACTATTAATTCCTGTCATTAGGAATATCTATGCTGTACTTGCTAATGTAGTCTTGTAAGGAACATCTAAATTTGTGGCTGGCCCAAACCCTGTCACAGCTCCACGTTTAAAAAAATTATCTATCTATCTATCTATCTATCTATCTATCTATCTATCTATCTATATTTGTATTGATTTCAGAGAGGAAGGGAGAGAGAGATAGAAACATCAATGAGGAGAGAGAATCACTGATCGGTCACCTCTTGCATACACACCCTCCCCCGCCAACTGAGGATCAAGCTCGCAACCTGGGCATGTGCCCCCACCAAATCAAACCATGATCTCCTGGTTCATAGCCAACACTCAACCTCTGAACCTCACTAGTTGGGCTCCACATTTTTTAAAAATCTTCACCTGAGGACATGTTTATTGATGAGAGAGAGAGAGAGAGAGAGAGAAAGAAAGAGAGACAGACATTGATAACATTGATTGGTTGCCTCCCTTAAAGATCCCGACTGGGGACTGAACCCAAAACCTAGGTATGTGCCCAGACCGGTAATTGAACCTGCAAACTTTTGGTACATGGCACAATGTTCCAACCAACTGAGCCAACCCAGCCAGGGAACAGCTCCACATTTTGATGCTCCCTTACATAGTGAACCCCACTTTCTCAATACAGAGTCCACACCAACTACATTTTTCATCCTCCTTTGCTTTTAGGGTGCAGACTCAGGGCCGGGTTCCATCATCTGACAAACCCACACCAGGCAGATTTGGAAACAGGACATGGGAAGAGTAGAATGGGTAAAGAGCACCTGCTGGGCAGGTGCAGATGGTGGCAGAGGCGGCAGCAGACCTCACTGGGCCAGTTGTATGATATGGTCTGGGAATTGTTCCGGGAATTTCAGCTGAAATCCTATTTCTCCAGCTTCTCTGAGGAGACAATAAATAAGCTCTCAACAAACCCCTTCCTGCTGATGCGGACTCAGCGTGAAACCTGTTGTCTGCCACGAAGACACAAGTAAGAGAATTCCCCTTCCTGTCTCCTACTTTTATGAGAGGCTAGAAAAAAAAACTCATTTCCCTACTTAGTTCCCAAACATATATTTTTTCCAGCTTTGAGTCAATCATTACATCTCCCAACAAAGGGTCTTTTGGGCCTTGAAGAAGACACGTTTTATCACTGCTTGTCCAGATGGGAGCACTTTATGTGAGATCACACAGGCTTTAATGCACCAAGGATAAAAATTAAGGATCAGCTGCCAGAAGAAAGCGAACCAGCAGATTATTCCTCTTTCACGTCTTGCTTTGTCGTCCTGAATTGCCCCCTGTCTCCGTTTCCCTGGACGCAGTACTGTGCTCTGCTGGAAGGACTGAGGCAGTTGTCTGAAGTTCCCAAGCACCTCCAAAATCAGATAGGTATTGGTGCAGTGATTTAAAGGGAAAGAAAATGGGATGGATGTTATACTGTGAAAAAAAGTCATTTCACTCCTTCTGTCCATAGAGGCCAAACAAACTTGTTGGTGTAGATCACACAATGATCATTTCATACATCCACCACTGAAATGACTCACTTTTTTTCCTTAAAGTGAGAGTTGGCCATGGATCAGGCCCAGAAGCTTGTGAAATTCTTTCCTCCAGACACTTCCTCCAACCTCTTTCAGAATACTTCCAGAGGGACGAGAGGATTTTCAGGTTCCCACCTTCCCTTCCACTGTGATCATCAATCAGTCCGAGCAACATAAATTAATCAAGGACGCTGAGATGGTTCCCCTCACAGAGAGTGAAGACGCTTGCCTGTCACACATGCTGACTGACAGCCACTTGATTCTAAAATCTAAAATCTAGAATCTGAAGTCAGCATAGTCCATATATTGGAGGAAAGAAAAAATGAAGGAAAGGAAGAAAGTGGCAAGAAGCGGAGGCTAAAAAACTCTTAGCTTATTTAGAGCATTAAATGCCAACAGCAATGTGGTTAGAAAGCACTGTGCTTCCTTAGGCATAATGTACAAGGAAAGGAGGCCAGTCCCACAAGGCAGGAAAATGACAAAGGGGACCCCTTCCTTCCTGAGCTACAGCAGACGAGAGGGACAAGGCAACTTTGGAGGAGGCCGCTTTGGTCTGTGGTGTACCCCTCCCCTTCCTTCACTGGCTGGCATTGAGATTCGGCATGTACAGCTTCCCATCTGTGAAGCTTCTAAGGAAGAACACAATAGCTCTCGGCCATGAGTTTGGGGATCCCATACTGTTAAGGCAGGACAGAGAAAATATAAAACATAAGGTAGGATCTCTCAAAGATACAACACTAACCTTCCCTGGAATGGTGCCTGACACATAGTAGGTAGGCACTCACTAAATGTCTGCTGATAATGAAAACAAGGCGAAAAACTGCTAACATAAAGATCACACTACAAGAAGTGCAGGGGAAGGAAAATGTTGTCAGGCACCCATGCCTTATCCCTGTGAGCAAGGAAACCAGGCCGGACCTGCAGCCACGCTGCGCAAGGCACACTGCATGACTCTGCAGACTCTGATCTCCTGCCTGCCTGCTCCTGTGGGACCGGCTAAGATGCATCTCACTGTGATCTACAATGAGAAGGGAACAACCTATGCAAATGAGTAAAGAAAGGAGTCAAAACTGTCGAAATGCTCAGCTGCTTGCCCCCAAGACCATCTATTTATCTTGGCTTAGTCATTAACAAAGCACAGAAAGTATCTCTCTTGGAGGCCACAGGCACAGAACATCAAGTACCTGAAAAAGGCTTTGGATGCCTGCACATGTGTACAGTTCATAGCCGTTAATTACTAATTCAGAAAGCTGCAGGAGTCGGGCAGCACAAAGGATCACAACACCATGAGAAGTCTGGATAAACCTAAAATTATCCTAGTAGCAACAGACCTGGCTCTGCAAATGTGATATGGAATCGATTTTCCTTTTAATTGGACCTATATAAGACCATTCTCTAGTACTGAGGTCCACAGAGACAGAGATAAGGGACAGGATATCCTGTGTATGTCTGCAGCTAAATTATGGAAAGTATATCAAACTTAAAGTAAAACAAAAGAATATAAATATTCTAGAATGATCTGAAAAAAAGCGTAAGTTCTAAAAATAGCAGCATTACCATTAGCATAGCATTTTAGGTATTTACTACTTCACATTACCTCTAATGTTTAAAAAATACATAAAGCTAAAATTGATTATCTCCTTTTTAAAAGAAAATTCTTACTAAATAAATAAAAACTCAGTACTTTCCATGATGTTTCAAAAAGTGGTTGGTGGAAAGCCAATTAATATTAAACTTTTATGGAGCTAATAAATGTCACATTACAAATTTTCAGTTCAGACAGCTGGCCCAAGACTGCACTAAAATACAGAACCTCCGCCCCCTCCCCACACCCTCCCAAAAACTGAGTCTATGCATTAAGACTCTCATGATTTCTATGAAGGAAAAGAAAGAGCAGCTCCTTTCTTTTGGCAATTTAAATGGCCTGACATGTTCAGAGCATGGCCTAAGAGGGGGCTAGGGAGAGGAAAAAGGCAGAGAATTCTAGAAAAGCTCTTATTATACTGACCACACGCATAGGGAATATTCATAATACCAAGGAACATACCAACCAGCAGACATAATGTAGAAAAGATTAGGAAAACACAGGACAGTAAGAGTCACGTGAGATCTGCCCAGTAAACCTCTTGGATCAAGTTTTTGTAATGGGCTTTGAAAGAAACATTAGACATCAGTGGCTGAGAGTAGTTTTAGAAAGTATCTCAGAGGCTCTTGAACAAAAGGTTAAAGCTTTCTAAATGCACATTCTCAAAAGTCCTAATATTGTTCAGTTTTCTGTTTCAACAAGCATAGTAACCACCAAAAGTAAGTTTTGGCCTTTGGGCCTGAAACGAAAGAATACACCTAAAATGGTATGCAAGCAAAGACTTCAAAGTAGGGGAAGATTCTGATTTCAGGACTAGTAAAGAGATCAAACTCTCGCTTTTTCAAGTACAATTTCTAAAATTCACTGGTCTTTTCTTTCTGAA